ATGCATGCAGACTTCTGTTGCTTTCACCAGCCTTGTTATTTCAGCTGTTCCTACACTCTATGTAAGTAATTAAATTTTTTTCCTTCTATAGTGATCTGGCTTAAACAGTATTGTATGATATCAGTTCTAATAGATTTTGTTGCTCTTGCCTAACTTGGGATCTCAAGGTTTCCCTGCCAATATAAGCTTCAATTATCTTTATTTCAGCATGATTAGTATTGGAATATGAGACAAAAATGCTTACCTTGAATAAAGATAAGTTTCCAGTCCCTGTGTTTAGATAAATTTGAACAGTGGTACTGTTGGCCTATCAGAGTGTCTAATTGCGGTTATGAGAACCACATTGGGTATAGAAAATCTAAAAGCCCTAGTCACTGCTTCTGATAAGAAATCACTGACAGTTACAATGCAATCATGCCTATTTAGAATATCACAAGGCTCTTTAGCATATAAATTTGAGAATGTGCTATTGCCTGTTGTATTTAGCACACCAGTAATTAGTTAGAGATTATGCACGGCAATGTTACATTCTTGACAAGTGGATTTTTAATTTCTATTATGGCCATCTTAGTAATTCCCACAAGTAAGGATATTCAAATGAGGTATAGATTCAAGTATTGTTGATCCCATGAAGCAAGCTACTTTATCTGATTCTCTATGATGCTGGGGATCTGAAAGTATATAGGTTTCTTTCTGCCTCTTTGTGGACGATTTATCATTCTAAATTCATCTTATGCAAGTTGGTTCTATTTGTCTGTTTTATAATCTGGCCTGTAGGCAATGGGGAGAGCGGCAACATCTCTTGCAAAGCTAGCAGATACTGCTCGCGAGGAACTTCCCAGTACAATGGCCGCAATTAGGCTTTCAGGCATGGAAACAGTGATCTCACTCTGGAAACTGAGTGACTTAAGGTGAAACTAAGATCCTTACATTTTAACTAAATTCTTTATGTTGTTCTGGCAATTTTGTACCCTTGGAATCTCTACATTTTTGTCTTATTAAGTATTATGAGGACTCCTTCAAATAAACCTAAGAAAAACAATGCTTTAAACTGGAGATTTTAGTATATTTATTTATGCATATAATCCTGTTATTAAGAATCATCTTATCTATTCTCATTTAAAATACTAATGATATTGTTTAGGGAATTGGTTATTTAGCCAAGAAATTGCTGATGGGGTCAACAAATCAGCCCAAGCTGTGCAGGCAGCAGAAGCTGGAATCCGACAGATTGGTACAGTTGTCGCCACAAACCATCTGTAAGTATAAGTGTGTCCATTGCTTTTTCCCTCGGTTACTAGTAAATTATCTCTGCTTTACTTTCCTTTACCATGTCTGATTTTTGCGACTTGTTTTTATGACCCAGCTATGACAAGAGAGGGCAAGTCTCCCTATCATCTCTTTGCAACCAGTTGTTGCTGGGGCTGCAAAGAAAACCTCCCATGCTGTTGGCAAGCCACGAAGTCGTTCATGAATATGATCTCTAGAGGGGAGTTCAGCTCTGAGAACGGAGATGACAATGGAATTGATGAGGTGGAAATCTAATGAAGTTGGCTGCATCCAAGTTCCCTTCAAGAAGCTTACTGCCTGTGTAAATAGATAGAGAAAACTGAGGCATCAGCCCAAATGGTTGATTGTATTTGGACAGTACGAATGCCCTAAATCCAAATATCAAAGAAATAGAAAGTCCATTTGTTCCACCTCTGCTATTTGAAATGCTGGACATCCTGAAATTCCTTGGTGAAATTCTGAATTTTGTCATTTTGCTCAACAATGAGGAATATTCATGAATACAATACAATAACTTTAAAACCACCATTGGGTAGCCAAGTGGTTAAATGGGATTTTTGAGGTATTATCAAGAGATCGAGTTTGATCCTTGCTAATGGGAGAGTGACCATTGGAGATTTACTCGGTTGTTAACTCAAGACACTGAAGATTAGTTAAGGTGCATGCAAGTGGTTCGACACCGGCCTAGTAATAAGCTGATGCAAACATTCAACCCATTAAATAGACCAATAACTAATCTCGTCTCATAATGATTTAAATGATTAGTATATTCATATAATTAAACATTAAACAATTAATTTTTTTTCATTCATTTCTCTCTAATTTAGGGACAAAAATATAAAATTTTGTTTACGATCTTATCTCATCTCATTTATTTCTTCGTATAGAAATATATTGGACTTAAGGTTTCCAAACTTAAAATTTGGATGCAAGTTTTGTACCTTTGAAAAATGGACCCTTTAAAATTTGAAAACTGTCTCATGAATATTTATTTACCCTAAATCTGTTATGTTGCTGTTGTGGTGGTAGGTGAGTAAAATGATAACTTTGTCCTTATAAGAAAGTGTCGGGGGTAAAATGTAAGTATAAGAAAGTGTTTTGAACACAATGACATGTAACGAATTAGAGCAAAGGGGTATTTGTGTATAAAGTTTTATCTTTGAAGAACTATTTGATAAAAAAAAAAAAAATTAAGTTAAGCAAGAGTTACACCAACTAGAGTGATCCGATCGATATAGTTGGGATCAGAACGATGTGTGCGTGATCAGGATAACCGCAGTGAATAAATAATAAGTACATTAAATTAAATGGCAAAGAGATTTTTAAAATGGTTCGACGACTTGAACTCTTGAGCCTACGCCCAAAATATCTGGGATCTGAAGTTATCCGTGAATTGGTTCAACAACTACGAAATTGGTACGACTAGCGTGCTAGTTCGAGCTATACTCGACGAGCTAATGTTGGGTCGAACAATAAGTACAGTTGAGCTAGTCCTGGATCAGATATAAACCTGCAATACTTCGATCTTGGTAGAAAAATCACATACAACATCTGCCCCCTAGTGTTCTGTGCTCATTTCGAGCTTCGAAGACTATTGCTCGATTTGATATCAAGCTTGACATTCGGTAGGGTGTTGGATGTAGATTCAATTGAGCTTCATAAGTTGGATTATGCCCAGTCGACGTCCTCACACTGACCTTTTCTCTTTTGGATATTCTCGATAAACTAGGAATTTGAAAAGAAAGGGTACTGTGTAAATTCCACGCGGTCATGTCGATTAAATGCGATAGCCCTTGGCAGTTACTTTTCGTCACAGTGGGCGACTACAGTTGTCCATACGGAAGTTGAGGTAAAGTGCGGCAACGGATATGAATAGGAAATTGACTGTTGATCACCCTTGTGGATGATTGACACGGCCACATTAAGGATCAAGATTGTTGACGAATGGAGGGTCGAGATTCACTGTAGACGACGGCTATGATCGAACCCTGCCCTTTTGTCTTCCAAGCAAACTACTATAAAAGCAGGCGAACTTGTCAGAAAGCTTACACTTTGAAAATTCTTAAGCATTCTTGTATTCCGTTGCTGCTTCTCTTCTTCATGGTGTTTTTCGACGAGTTCATCCTATCTCTTATTTCGGTAAGGTTCTTTTCCCTTCCTTTACTTGTTTTCTTGATTTTTGCGATTGTGGGTGGCCATGTGTGGCACATTGAGTCTTTTAGGGCTTTGTTAGGGTTTTTTAAGTGTCTCCGACAATCCTAGGTTTAAGGAGGGTTTTCATGGCGGCCACCAGAATCCTGGTAGGTCGTGTGCATTTGTTGTCCGATGCGAGTATCTTGGTGATGAATTGAAAGCAAAGTGTGGATAAGTGCCGAGTTTTTCGAGCTCTAACACATGTTCACTTTGTTTCAGGTACCTAGAGGCAAGTTATACTCATGTCTTCGTCAAGTAGCCGCATGTTGATTCCTCTGTGGGCTGACAATCCTGGGGATATAATCCCTAAGGTTTCTAAGGAGGTCGTAGCATGGAACTCAGATCCTGAGCGGTGGGCTCGTCGTCATATTCTGTGGAGGTCACCCAGTCAAGGCGATCTCCAGTTCACGCTGCGGAAAGAACCGGAATCCTCAATAATGTCCAGGATCTTAGGGCATAAAGAGACTTATGCGCCTCAACTCAACTTGAGGATTCTGGGAGGCTCCTCCAAAAGAATCACCCACAAGTTGGGTAGTGATCTCTGGACCTTCAGGGATGTGGGATGTCTATCCCCTCTCACCATTTCATCGAAAACATTTGAGACGGTTCGACATCGTTCCTTTCCAATTGTCCGCAATAATTCATACATCATATCATAGGTTTGTACATAACGTACATCATTGCTGAGTGGGCGAGCCATCTGTTGAGGAGCTTATCTTGTATAGGTTGAAGAAAGGTAAGACTAGATATACTATCTTTCCAAGGCAAGGAAGGTACATTTTAACAGTTTGGTTGACATTCCACGCATTGGGATTTTAATTTTCTTTTATGAGGCCGGGGAGATGACGTTTTTGTTTCAGAAGCTAGTAAGACTTTGACCTCTGTGAGTACGAGGAGAGTTTCAAGCTTGATGGTTGAACTAACCTAACTTTTTGTTATGTAGTTAACATCGAACATTATTTCTCCCTACTACAGCTTACAGAGGCTTCAGTGCTTCAGCGACCTTTTTGATAGGGAGCGCAACGTTAACGAGATTATCTGGTTCCTCGCTGGGGGCATAAACTTTTGCGGAGGATAACGCCAATTTCATTACCATTCTTAAGAAAGGTAAGGTGCTCATTGCTCATGCTTCTTCCTTTGTGTAGGTAGGTCGCTTATTGCTTGCTTTCTTTTTGTAAAAATGTGGGTGGAGAAAACCGAAGGGCCTGAAGAAGAACGCGCCAACTTCGGGGCTGCCAAAGAAGCAGCGGTTGCTCCGGCAAAGAATACTTACTGATGCGACTGGCACAAAACAAAGCAAGGATGAGCTTGGGGAAGGCCCTATGGCGAAGAAGCCCACGACTACCCTAAGGCAGTTGGTGGGAAAGGTGCCCCCGAGTCCCAAAGGGGTTGGTGAAGAAAGCATCCAAGCCAACTGGAGGCTTGAGAAAACAAAAAGCGCTCGAGCAACATGATGGCTCAAGCAAAGGAAAGTTGATCAAGCCTTAGGGAGCTCGAAAAATAGAAAGTTTAGGAAGTAAAGCCAATATTGGTAGCTAGGTTTGGAAAAATTCTATATAATGGGTATGTGATTCACTTTGCTAGATTTACTGTATTAGGAATATTGCTTACCGTATAATTATAATATTATCTGTACTAAATATATTAACTCTTTCGCACATATTCTAATCTCCTTTTAGTTTTGTAACGTGAAGCAAACATATGTAATTAACTTTTATTTATCAGTGGGCTAAGTAATAACTATTGTCTTCATGTAGGAGTAATTCAATGAGCTTAGAAAATATCAGAGGAGATCAATTTTCTGAAGCCACTTTGAGACAACTGAAGAGATTGTTTTACACTAATGTTCCTAATACATATATGGAAAACATCATGAATGTCATTGTGCCTAAGATTGGAGTTGATTTTGAAGAGGAGAAGGATATATACCATGTCAAGGTACTTTGCTAAACATGTCTGCATGGTCAAATTTCTTGTACTTATTTGATTAGGTACTGATTTGAAGCTTTCTTTTCCTTGTCTAGGTGTCTGACATAACACGTCCAGACTCAACTATTTCTTGCAAATGTAGTATGAAAGAAGATAAAACGCTTGAGCTGTATAAGGTAAGTTTTTCGCTGCTTACAAACTGTTACATATGGATACTAGACTGAATCTTGAGATATGATGCCATATTTTGGGATTTGACCTACCATTAAAAACTGCTTCAATATGTTTTAAAGTTGAAGATATTATACAACCTTATAATCAAGGTTGTTCTACACTTACAGTTGGGGAGCTAAAATAAATAAACGAAATGAGACTTTCACAGTTTTACTAGTCTGAACAAGACCAAGAAACCATACTTGTTAAACGTGCATTAGTACTAATGGAGATTGTTATGATGTTATTCAATAATATTGATAATGATTGAACTGAATTTGGACCAGACTGATTTGCCACTTTTTCGAATTGCCTTTGAACTGATATGATTGTTGGGAATCAATCAATTATGTTAATAAGTTCCTTTCCTCCCTAATTTATCTACATTTCTATTCACTCATGCTGCTTCCAGTTTGATATATAGGGGAGCTATTGTTAATACAATATTTTTTTTCCTGTAGGTTGAACTAAACCAAGTTCGTCACTTGGTTGTGGACGTATCATGCCTTGAAAAGGATCTAGACCTAAGGTTGATGCTAGGCAGTAAGAGGATCTTAACTGCTCTCTCTGTAAGTTATTCTGGAAGCATGCATATACATTAAGATGCTTTTGTTGTACCAATCTAATGTCAAGCTTTTCTTCTTTTTTCTTCTAATTTATTTTTAACTTGTTAATTCCTAAGTAGGAGTTTCTCAATTTTGGAAAATGATGAAGCAACTTTGAAGTGTTGAAATTAGGAAATTTTTTTATACTCTTTAGCATTGTTTTATCTCATGATGTTTATTTCCCACGTTAACACATGCACATTAGACAATCATCAGACAGTTAATCTTATTGACTCACTTGGCTCGCTTTACCAAGGATTGAAATAGAATAATAACTACAGACATCATGGAAGTGATAAAATGAAGAAATGTAATCATCCTAATCAATTTTAGTTGCCTACATGTAGACTTATTTGATGGTAAAGTTTGTGCAATTAGATTTTGGTTTGTTAGTGTCTCTAGCTGCATATAATTATCCTTGAGAATCAATTCTTTAGTCAAAGTGATTTTATGCTTTTTTCCAGGATGACGAATCGCATAGTATTAGAGATTTGATTAATTCGGCAGTTTTAGATCCAGAGGTGAAGGGTGGATTGAGATGGCCAATGGGATTGGGCTATTATGGGAATAGATACTGTGTTATTGGGGTTTGGCACACAAAAGTGAAATCATATAAAAGCCCATCACTAAGGCTCAAGGTTAGATATGCTGATCGATCTGATTTCAAGAGTGGAACTGGGGAAGCTACAATGGAAACTACCCTGCAATTGAAAAGATTAGTTTCAGAACTACAGGTAATTTAGTGTGTTTATCATGTTTTCAGTATTTTACTTAACGGCCTACTCTAATGTATGACTTAATATATCTCGGACTTGGGAGCCATTGCTAGAAACTGTTTTTCATTTGCTAGTGCATACTTTATTTATTTTATCCTAAATCCATCTTTCTCCAGAGCTGAGAAATCTACTATTAAAGTTAAATTCTGCAGTTGTGACCATGTTCAAAGCCTCTTGCTTCTATTGATGTACTCTTATCATTTACTCTTCTACTGTTTATACAGATGGCTCTGTCTGTTAAATCATATTTACAATAGAGAACCAATATATGCCTCATTATGATATCTATATCAGTATCAAATGAATGTTTACCCAGCTGGCTACCATTGGAGAAACTAGATTACAAAATTGAGTGTTCAGTTGATTGAGTCAATCATATATGCTGTTGCTTTTTTAGATAATATATTTATGATCATAGACTGAATTGAAAGTAATTTTTTAGTTTTTCCGGAAATCAACTTCTTCGAAACTCCTTTCACTGTAAAGAAAAAAGGAATACGATATTTGCAACTTGTGACTAATGCATATGTTTAGTATTTATGTCCTTAATTTGTGCTTTTCTCATATTGAAGAAATATACATGTACTTATACCTTTTCGTTCACTCAATTTTCAGGAAGAAAAGCTGGAATATCGTTCGATCTATAACATGTTCCAAGACACCATAAGATTGATATGGGACAATTTCTTGTGCTGCGATCAATTTTTGAAATAAACAACGCGATGCAAGTGTTCCCAGCGCCTCCTGCATTTATATTAAGACGTATTTTTGTTTGGACCTGTTTTTGTGGAAGAATATTATGGTAAAGATCAAGGTCATGTCATGTTGAAGTAGAAAATTTTGAGTGGTTTCTTTGTGTATTGTTATCATTTTCTCCTCATCGTTTTTTCTTCCCTTGTAAAGAGACGTTAAATTTATTATAAATTTGGTATTTGTGGATTATTGTTGCTTGTCAGTGTCACCTTTCACTAAGCTAAGCATTTTTACTCAAGCAATTGGTGAACAATTCAAAATTCCCATTTGCATTGGGACCATTCAAGATTATGTTAAAAAAATTCTGAAATTTTAGAAAAATTATATAAATGAAAACTCTAATGATATTATCAGATTGATTTTCCTTTTGAGGAGAAAAGAAAGGCTAAATTAACCTCGAGATTGGTATAGAGGTAAAGAAAGTTTGTTCCTTTNAACCAGTCATCGTCATCATCATCATCATCATCCTCTTCATTACCATAATAATCACGATGAATACCTTCATCACTAAGATCATCAAAATGTTCACTGAAACGGCCTACATCACTTGGAGCGCTGCTACTCTCTCTCTCACTCTCATCTTCTGATTCATATTCTTCTTCCTCGTCCTCTTCCTCTTCATCTTCCTCTTCCAAAATCTCATCTGGATATTCATTTCGTGGATTATCTTCAGCTGAGAAACACCAAGAAAAGAACATATAAGTCATTTGGGATCATTTTAAAGTTCAAATAAAAGAATGAGCAAGGACAATAAATTATGATACCATTCGAATCCTCACTATCGTATTCTGATACATCAGGTCCATCGTAGAAATCCTCTTCATCAACTTGGACCCTGAACCCGGAAAAAACATCAATGTCAAAGAAATAAAAAGAGGTGCATATAAAGAAATAACATTGTATACAACACTTACAGAGGAAATGAATGCGAAGCTACTTCTTCGTCAACATTCATGTCATCATTCACAGCATAATAATCATAGACATAATCATCTGAAAATGACATGAATGTCATCATTCACAGTATAATAGTCATAGACATAATCATCTGAAAATGACATGAATGTCATCATTCACAGTATAATAGTCATAGACATAATCATCTGAAAATGAGATTAAACACGGGAGTATAAACCATCAAGGAGTAATCTAGAATCAAACAGCTACTTACTGCCTCTGATATTAATAAAATGACTAAAAATGTAACCACTGGTTCCCCCACCACCCCCCCATCCAAAATGTAAAGCTTTTCCGGCACACTCAAAGTGGAAATAAGCTTTTCTCCCTCACACCAGCCTAAAATATTATTTAAATCAGGTGGCACCCAGCTGTGGATCTTAATTTCTTTACAAAAGATTGAAACCACTTTAAATCAAATGACCAATTGCTTAAGAACAAAATCAATGTATTACGTAAAATTAAAGTCTTCTATGAAAATGGAGTAGAAGCAGAACCTAGTGTGGACATATAAGAGCGCACATCAGCTTCAATCTCTTCAGCAGCACCCGGTATAAATTCTCTCAGCATGGGCAGATAACTAGACAACAATCTGCTATCCTCGAATGATGTATCTCTGCCATAAAAAGAGAGTATCATTTTCAACATCATGCAAGATATCATACAAGAGATAAAATCCATGATGACAAAACTTACTTCTGCTTTTGCACCTCATTGGGTTTTTGTTCAACATCAACACGAACAACATCATAAAACTGACACATTTCATGTAGTGCTTCATCCCTCATTTCCTCTTTGTTTCTATTTCTGCTCCTCCATATTTGTTCAAAGCGTGCAGTTTTTGCCAATGCCTAATGAAAAATATAAGAAATAAAGAGAAATTTCAACAGAAAATGAATAAGAAAAAATGCATTTTCAAGAAGTAAATGATATACTAGATTTATGATGCTGTTTTGTTGATAGTCATTTTTCTGTTCAGCCCAAAATCATGTTAAGAAAATCAAAAAACTTCGAGAAAATATTTTATAATAAAGCTACAGGCCCAAAAAAAGATACTAATTTCCTAAGGTTAGGTTAAGTCACACAAAAATATATAAAATTCATATCATGGTTGCATACATTGATGCCTTTAATACTCAAGGCGACTAGTCCTAGGAAGTTCTCAAAATAAAAGCAAGAACATCTATAATACCAAATTAAGGAAACTGATAGGAACCCACCCCAACAACTCAAACAATTGGGCAAGGCCATGAGTCTTTCATAGACTTGGATAGAACTCTGCTTAAAAAACAGGATTGCCAAGGAAGAGTACCCAAGCCTTTATAACCCACATGCCCAACTTTTTCCCTTCCAATGTGGGATCTTAACAAAAACGCAATATAGAAACGGTCAAGTAGGAGGGGAACACATTATGCTTTCTCAAAGATGCTAAACTAATAAATCTAACACCCATCTAATTAATTATTAAATCCAGAATTCTTAAACCATAGTAAATTATCTCGGTCAAGTCACTGGTGTTCCTATTTCCCATCATCATTATTGTGATTATACTTCTTCAAGCTTGAATATCTTCTTTTCTTTGAGTTCACAAGTTTTAGAACATATTGAATAGGTCCCTTTAAATATTTAATCAAAAATAAAATCTGCATTACTTAATTTAACATTCAAGATTCCAAATCATACAGCAAAACTCAGCTTCAAAACAAATTATTATGGGCAACTCCCACTAAGATGAGCTTCATTACCACTTGAAGAATTAAGTAGATGATGAACCTAAAATAAAATCCAGGATTATGGAAATAAGTGAATTCAAATTCTTCAAAATTGAATGATTTAGCATCTGGCATAGTTTGATGAAAAACAGAAATGCAACGACAGAAGATTCCCTACAATATTTTAAACCAAAAAATACATATATTTATCTAAAAAATGGGCAGACTACAACAACCACAAAAATATATGGAAATGGAGGTTTGAATAAAATTCCCTTTGACATGATTCATAGCATAATGAAAAAAAAAAGTTCAAATCTTTCTAGTAAAGAAGAAAAACATCCTTGTATGTTAAAGAAATACTAAGTTTACAGTCATCATCAAAAGCTCTTCCATGTGACATACCTCCTGCTGTTGCCTGGCTTTAAACAAGGTCTGATCCAGCCTCTGCAGATATTAAATTGGAACCGCCAACATGTTAGATACAGAGAGCAATTGAACGACCTAAAATTGAAATGCAAATCCAAGAAGTACCCACTAATTGGTAATTAGCGAAAAAAGCACTTACATTCTCTTTCTTTAAAGAACATCTACGTTCCTTACTCTTTGTTTCACCATGGTGTGCATCAGCAGAATTAGACAGCTAAAAATAACAGTTACCAATTAAAAAACCTATAAGCATATCATCATAATGTAAGATGAAAATGAGGACTGGGCAAAATTTGGCATAATTTCTTCGAGAGGCAGAGAAAATAAAATTGAAACCCAATCTACAAAATGTAATACGTCAACAGAACCATGATATGGATCATCATACTGACCACAAATGATTGCACAATATCAACAGTGGCCTCAGAAGTGGTAACTGTCTCCACATGCTGTACAAAAACCTTCTTAGCCTTCAACTCCTCTGGTAAAAATCAGCAACAATGCATTAGCCAGTTACACAAAAAACTGAATCACGTTTAAACCACGAAATCAAATTTGTCAGTTTGCAACAAATTTCGGTAAAAATCATATGAATAGCAGATTCAGATTACCAAAAACAAAACCAAAAAAAATATCTGATTATTGTCACGTTCAGCCATGTTTCTAGACAAACTGTCCAAAATTTTGCCCAAAATTTTGCAGGTTAAAGATATCAGCTCTGTATTTACAAAGTCGAATACAAGTTTCTTACAATTATAAATTACATGATAAGACATAATTCAACATGCACCCACCAGTCACTTGATTGTTTGATTACAATTAAAATACAATAAAATAAAATGAGAGTTAAAATTAGGAGAAAATAACCACGAAATCAAATTTTCCTTTGCAACTAATTACATATGAATTGCAGATCCAGGGTGAACCGGTTATTTCTTGTTTAAATTAACTAAACAAGAATAAATAAGTCAACAATAAATAACTAAATTTGAATTGTAACCAGACACCTTATGGCCTTTGAGATAACCTTTTGAATCAAGTAGTGTAGTGATTCAAAAGGTTCTCGGCAGCTTCCACCAAGTTTTGTTTCTATATCTGCGCTGTCCTATGTTTGTATTCATCAGTCCCTTTCCTTTCTTCAATTCAATTGGATGTTAATTAAATGAACCATAAGTATCTAACCCGATTCCTAATGAATTGACCCTGATGTAGCATACCCAAATCATAAGAAAGCCCATAGAAGCCACAATTGCAGAATTATTCAACCAAGGTTTTACACAAACTATCCAAAATTTAAAGATATCATTTCTACATCTATATAATTCAACACGCATGTACCAGTTACTTACTTATTTGATTACAATTAAAAATAAAATAAAATGAGAGTTAAAATTAGGCGAAACTAACCTTTCCCAGATGATTGAGAGATTGATAACTTCTCAAAGTCCAACAATGGCCGCTTCAATGGTCGCTCATTGATTTCAAGCCCTAAAAAAACAATCAATTACGATCTAATTAACACCTGCATTTTGTTAAAAAAAAAAAAAAAAATAAATAAAATAAAAGAGTGAAAAGAAAGAGTGAATGAGTTACAGAAAGCGTCGAGCCGAGATTGCGTGGCTTTGCGTTTAACCCTAACAATGACAGGCTTGTCGCTTGTGGGTTTTGGCGGAGACGAAGAGCTCTCCCCGCTTGTGCTCGCCATTGGAGTGTGAATTGGGACTTGGGTTTGGGTTAGGGATTAGAGAGATTGATATAATTGCTGATGTAGTGTAAACGGTCGGATGACGGACGTTACTATTTCTAACTCACCTTTTTAATGCCTTTCAACCTTTAATATAAACATATTTTGAATATTAAAATAAATAGATAATTTTAAAAAAAAATTAAGTAGATTCAAAAAGTTCCCAAAAAGGCCACCAGAGTTCGTCACCAACATCAAAATTTCATCTCTTCTATGACCAACACAGTCCACCACCATGAGAGCATCTTCTTCCTACCGCACACAATTGAAACACAATAAAATTAAAATCATCTCTGCATATCTCAACCTATGCCACCCACCAAACTTCAACCAATGTCTCAACAAAACTGAAAATTTTGTAAACAACTCTCAATCCACCCACTTCTATCAATCCATCACCATCAGCAACAACAACAATTCAATTAAAAGCATAAAACTATTTAGTATGACTGGATAAGTTGTTCAACAAAAAAAGAAGAAGATTAGGAGCAATAAGATGAGAGATTAGTCAATGAATTTGGCCCTCATACCGAACGGAGGTTCTATTGGGCGTGGAGGTTGGTGCGGCAGCCGTCGCCTGGTCCTGGCAGCGGCAGCCAAAATCGGGACGGCAGCCGCCGATTGAGATGGGGAGATGGGAGATGACGGGGTGAATTAAAGGTTTTGATTTTGAAATTGGGGGTGACGGAAATCTTGGCTTGGAATTTTTTAGCTTTTTATTTATATTTCTTTTTTAAAGAAATCATTTTTATTCTGTTTTGTAATTTTTAAAACTTGTCAAATAGTTTTATATTTAAAAAGTTTAGTTCACTGGCTCCTTTTGATATTTTTAAACTTTTTTGGGTGGGTTTTTATATTTTAAAAGTTGCAATTAGATGACAAGTCAAATGTGCCCTCTCTCCGTTTATTTAACTCTAAACGTCAATCAAGTTGAAAGATGATTTTGTAGGGTGGGCGGGAACTGGAACCTGAAAAATAATCAATTACCCCACACTTTCTAAAATTACAAGACACCTCCAATAGTTTATAAAAATTACAAATATACCCTAATTGTAGTTGTTTACAGAAATTACAAAAGCCTTTCTTATTTCAATCCAATGGTTCTCCTTTCATCATAAACCCTAGCCGCCACCCCTCTCTTCACAAACCCACTTCGCTCTCCCTCTCACAACCCAATCAATTCTTCTTTGTCCTTTTCCAATCGTTTCTTCTTTTTCTAATCGGTTCTTTTTCTTCTAGTCAGTTCTTCTTCTTCTTCTTCTTCCTCCAATCGGTGCTTCTTCTTCTTCTTCCAATCGATTCTTCCCCTAAAATTTCAATTGAATTGTAAAATATCCAAACGGTCCCCATATTTTATAAAAAAAATTAAACCTCAATTCCCGGTTTTGATTTCAGTTCCTAAAGTAGTGGAACCATATAATGTCGATTCCACCACTCCTGGAACTGGAACTGGAACCGAACCTGTGAAGGTCAATTCTGGGTAGGAACTGGAACCAGTATCCTGGTTACCCATCAGTTCCAGTTCGACCAGTTCTTTTGCACACCCATAATTCTGTTAATAAAAAATAAATGAGAAAACGACATGATCCCACCCAAAGAATAGTGAAATGGCAAGTTTCCACCCCTAGTTTCATTTATTCCAAATTCTCAGCCTTAAAATAATAGAAAATTATTTAATGTAATGGTCAAAGGATAAAGTGGTCATTTTGCACTTCCTAGCCTAATTGCCATGAATTTTTTTCTCTCAACTAGTTGCCACTAGCCTCACCTATAAGCCTAATGTCGATCGATTTGCGCTAATCCAACCAGATTCTTTACCAAAATTGATGGAATTCATCACCCCAAGCCCAATTGCACAACCTTCTTGCCTCATTGATCACATTTTTGTCCGTATTTGGCCTTTTTTGGCTAATTTTCTCAGCCACACACATTTCTATCTTCGGTCCGATTTGGTCGAAATTCAGCGTTGTTGGCCTTCCTTGTCACCACCACAAGAACCCCTGGCGTCCCACCATAAAAACCCCACACTTTTCCCCCTCATTGCACACGTCATTCACCAGCCACAACAATTGTGGCACTCGACTGTTCTTTGCCAGATTTTGGCCGATTTTGGCAACAACAACCCCTCCCGACTCACCTGTTTTTCCCCTACAAAACCCCCCATTCTCCTCAACCATGGCAACTCGCTGTTCACCGTCCGCCACTTAACCTAGAGTTTTTGCGTTTTGTTGAAGGTTGGATTTTTGATGAAATTGAAGCTTGGGTTTTGGTTGATTGATTATTTGAAGTGTTTTTGCTTTTGATTTTGGCCTGCAATCACTGTCGATCACTCTCCTAACTTCATTTGCCCACCACTTGTCTATTATTTTGCCTCAACCAACCCAAAAGCGCACTTCACCAATCGTACGCCACAAAACACACGCCAACGCACCCTTCCAACATGCGTGCATGCTTGCCTTTTGCATACAGTAGCAAGCAGCCCCCCAATATGGTAATAGCACCCTCGCATTTGTGTTAAAACCTAAATCGCTAACGTTGTCACTTTAAGGGTGGGAATCTGGAATAAATGAAACTAGAGGTGGAAACTTGTCATTTTGCTAATCTTTGGGTGGGAACAGTTGACTACTCAAAATAAATTTATCCTTGATAGTAGACCAAAAACCAAGGGACTAAAATAATTAACTTCATTTTATAATATTTGTTGGGGAGAATTTCACAAAATAACCCTAAGGTTTAACTAATATTTTAATTTGTAACAATCTTACAACAAATCATCAAAAACTATCCTTCAATCTTAATTTGTGTAAGTTTGTTAGATTAAAATTTTAAATATATCTAAGTTATAAAATATGTCAGATTAAATGACTAAAATGTCCTTAAACGTTAACTTTACTTTGATAAAATGAAGATTTGAAGGTAGTTTTTGATGATTTTCTACAAAATATCTTAGGTTTAAATATTAGCTAAACGTTAAGTGCAGAATCAGAATATTTCCTTAGATATTTGTTATGGCTATAGGTAATATACGTAAGTGTACATAAAGAAAGAATAGTCGTTGGATAAATCCTCATTAGAAATTTGATGACAACAGAAGGCAGGGTCCAAACGAGTATAGGTAAAACAAGTGGAAAGTCTAAAGGGGTAATAATGAAACCCTAGACCCGTACTCGGCCCTGCGAGGATGGGTGGATGCATGGGTCATCTATTTTTCTCAAACCTACCCTTGCTTTTTAAGATTCATCCCAACACTACCCTTGCTTTTCTCAAATCTAACATTTTTTCCTCTTCAATTTGATTTCAAATCTTCTTTAAAATCGTATAATATTAGAGGAAGTTCCAGTCTTTCCATTTTTGTTTCATTATTCTTTTCTTTTCAGGCACAAGCACAACATTATATTGATCTCTGACACCTTTTACTAGGGGTGAGCATGGATAGTAGGTAAAACCAGAACCAGAACTGGAACCTACCTTTAATCGGCCTTCACAAGGTCGATTCTGGTTCCAATTTTTTAGAACTGACATTGTGCGAGTTTGATTTCAGTTCCTGCACGGACCCAGAACTTGGAATGAGAATCGAGGTTAGGTACCCAAGTTGGAACCTGTCTTGGAACCAAGACTAAAATGTAATATTAGTAAAGAATGGGGGTCTACTGTAATTTTGCATATAAAAAATTAAAATGGGATGAAGACACTTGGGTGACGTGGTGAAGAAGTAGGTGGAGGCCCCACTTGGTTGCTGAATAATCAGTAGATTATATTAAATAATATATATATTATAATATTTAATTATTTGATTAATTAAGTGTATAATTAGAATTATGATCCAATTAAAAGTGTTATAATGTTATTAAAAGAATTATTTTTGAATAAAATAGTATATTTGATTGAATAATATTTCGTTCAATTATCAAATTCTAAACATATCTATAATAAATTATTAATTATATATGATAAATTGATGAACATTAGTACATTACTTAATTAAATGATTATTATAATATTATAGTATGACAACTCATGGTACAGTATATTAAGAAATGTAAATGTTTTGTAATCAAACTTAAATTAACGACATAAAACAAACTTAAAGTAATACTAATTATTTAATTAAAGATTCATAAATTATATTAATATTAATATTAATATTTAATTTGATTCTTTTGTCACAATTAATGTTAATTTAACTTATGGGCAAGTTCAAAAACTTAATTTTCACTCTAGTAATTACAATATTATATAAATTATCAATATCTATTCATAAGTATCAATCTTTTGAGGGATGAATTGATAAGAGTTTGCAAGAAAAAATTTATCTTATGTCAAATGGATTGATTAAAAGACAAAATTTTATTAATTTGTACCCCTAAAAATTAAATATGTATGCATATATGACTTACATCTAACCCAATTGTAACTTTTTACTGAAAATATTATTTAAAGTAAAAAACCCTAATGCATCCTCAAAATTTTCCATTCAATTTTCAATTGATTTAGACCATTCAACTAAAAAAAAATTAATGAATAATACTATATATACAAAATTCATACACAAAAACTTTCATACAAATGTGACAATAAGAAATAATGGATTAATTAACATAAAAAATTAACTTAATAAATACATAATAATAAGGTTGTATGATATGTTAATATAAGAAATAATAACAAATCACTTGAAATTTTTAAACATTACCAAGTTCTTAAAACTAAAGCGGAATGGGTTGTTTTGTTGATTTTAGTGTTCATTTTTCATCATTGCAAAACAACCAACCATGAAACAAAATAAAGAACACTATGGGTTTTTACATGGTTCGGTAAAATGCCTACATCCATGGGACCAAGTCCAGATGAAACCAATCCACTATTGTAAACATTTATAATTCAATTACAAAGCCAAAATTAAGCATCAGTTGCAAGAACACTGCTTGTTTTGTAACACTTCAAACTCTACCCTTTGGTTGAACTTCAAACTGCCACAACAAGCTTCACATTCACAAGACCACCTGGTTAGCCTTGAGCTCCTCTCAAGGATTAACACCAAAGATGCACTTCAGCTCTAAAAGCTTGAAATCCCATCAAACATTACCAATGGAAACCCATGTTCTAGCCATAAACAAATAAACAAAGTTTATCAAAGGTATTTGTAAGCCCACCTAAGGCATACAAAATCTGATTCAAAACAAAAGAAACCTTAAGGAATTTTCAGAGTAATATCAGAGAAATAATCAGGCCTCAGAAGAATTGCATTGGAGAAGACGAATATATAGAAAACTTGGGCTCCAATGGGCTCCAATGTAAGGGGACAAGTGGCCAAAAAAGATACTTTATGCTTTTAACTTTATGCAAAAGTTTGTTCCATTATCTTGATGCCACCTATCCAAGAGAATAAACTTTCCAACACATTGAATATCAATTTGACAAGTGTTATGGACCACACAAATATCTCATAAAACAATATTGACAACCCATTGGAATTTAGAAATACAACACGTATTACCCAAAATATCTGTCAGATGCATTGTGATCACTCTGACTTAAAGGTGCTAACTCGATATAGCAGATAAACAACATAGTAGAAGGTGGTCACTTTAACACAAGGTGGTCACATTGGAAATTTAAACAAAACAATTGTGCTAAGATAAAGTGAGGTGTTCATGCCATGACTTAGTGTTACA